TTTGAACACAGTTCCATCAAAAAGTGTTTCTGAAACACATTTTGAACTATGGATGGGACGTAAATCTAGTTTACATCACTTCAGAATTTGGGGATGTCCAGCACATGTGTTAGTGACAAACCCGAAGAAACAGGAATCTTGTTCAAAAGTGTGCCTATTCGTAGGTTACCCCAAGGAAACGAGAGGTGGACTCTTCGATCCACAAGAAAACAAAGTGTTTGTATCGAAAAAGCTACATTCTTAGAAGAAGGCCACATTAGAGATCATAAACCACAAAGCAARGTTGTGTTAAATGAGATTTTCGATGAAGCTACAAATACATCAACAAGAGTTGTTAATAAAGCTATCACTTCAACAAGAGTTGTTGATGGTGCTAGTACATCACGTTAGTCACATCCATCTCAAGAGTTGAGAGTGCCTTGACGTAGTGGAAGGATTGTGTCACAACCTGATTGTTACGTGGGTTTAATAGAAACCCAAGTCGTCATACCTGATGATGGTGTTGAGGATCCATTGACATACAAAAAGGCAATGGAAGATGTTGATAAGGACAAATGGATCAAAGGTATGGACCTTGAAATGAAGTCTATGTACTTCAATTCTGTCTAAGACCTTGTAGATCAACCTGATGAGGTCAAACCTATAGGTTGTAAGTGGATCTACAAGAGAAAACGAGACACTGAAGGAAAGGTATAGACCTTTAAGACTAGACTCGTGGCAAAGGGTTACACCCAAAGGGAAAGGGTGGACTATGAGGAAACCTTCTCCCCGGTTGCCATGCTAAAGTCTATAAGAATACTCTTGTCCATTACCACATTTTATGACTATGAAATTTGGGAAATAGATGTCAAGACTGCTTTTCTGAGTCACAATTTTGAAGAGAGTATTTATATGTCTTAGCCATAAAGGTTCATTAAGCAAGGTCAAGAGCAAAAGGTTTGCAAGCTTAAACGATCCATTTATGGATTAAAACAAGCATCTCGTTCTTGGAATATAAGATTTGATATAGCAATCAAGTCTTATGGTTTTGACCAAAATGTTGACGAGCCTTGTGTATACAAGAAGATCATCAACAGCACTGTAGCTTTCTTGGTGTTGTATGTAGATGATATCCTACTCATTGGGAATGATGGAGTATCATAACTGACATTAAGAGGTTTCCTAACTGACATTAAGACGCTCAGTTTGTTCCGGGGATTCAAATCATAAGGAATCGAAAGAACATAACGATAGCCCTGTATCAGGCAACTTATATCGACAAAATGCTTGTTAGATATTCGATGCAGAATTCCAAGAAAGATTTACTACCTTTCAGGCATGTTTAACTATAACACCGTTAGCTAATAGATTAATATTTCAATGGGATGACCAGGTAACTCGATCTTAATCCTGAGTGAGTTCTGAACTCCTGCCTGTTAGCGCTCGTCCTTTGATTTGTATGGGTGAGAGTGGCTCGAGTCGTCGACTTAATATGCCTACCATTTTGGGGACGAGACCGAGTGGGGAGCTGAGAACATAACTACACAAGATGGAATTCACTCCTTCCTGACTTCAGGGTAAGTAGATGAGTGTTCTCTTGAGTGCTGACTCTTGGACTTGAACAAGGGGCCTCACCCTCTCATAGGTTCGAGAGGAACTTCTAGTTATTGGTTGGACCATAATCGGATTGTTCATTAAAGGATCAGCGGTACTTAAGATACAAAATGTAACATAGAGGTAAAACGGTAATTTGACCCAATTGTGGTTACGAACACTCGTGAAGGATTTACTTACCGTTAATGGTCAAGATCCATGGACACAAAATATTCTACAGTGAGAAGAGTGCAACAGTGAGTCTTTAGTAGAGTGACCGACAGTTAACGAATGTAAATTAATATGGTTAATCAATTAATCTCGTATCGTTGGAGCTTCCGATCTGTAGGTCCATTAGGTCCCCTTGCTAGCTCGTAAAGGATACTTAAGAACAGTTTGTCTTGAAAAGAATTTGAATTGTTCAAATTAGTTAAAAAGAATTAAGGTTAATTATATGAGATGCAATTAATATAATGTATGTTGATACATTATAATATAAAGTGAATTTTAATTTGATTCAAAATTATGAGAGTGATGGATATTAGAATTTGATTCAAATATAGTTGATTAATTTAAGTTTAATTTAATTAAATATGATTTAATTAAATTAATGTGATATATTAATTTGGTTAAATGAAATTAGATTTAATTCAATTCAATTGATAATTCTTTTTTGTAATTAATTAAATTAGATTTAATTAATTATTATTTTAATTAAAATAAAAGAACAAAAAAGAAAAAAAAAAGAAAAAAGGGAAAGGAAGAAGTGGGAGGAACCTCCCACTTTCGGTGGAAAGTGGGTGAGGTTCCGCCCACTTCCCACTATTAATGGTGGGAAGTGAGAGAGTGGTGAGTGGGGAAGTTGTGACTTCCCCACCAATTCTCGTCCCTTATATAAAGGGAGGTTCTGCCCTTTTTTTGCCTCGGTTCACAATCATATGAGTTTTGGAAACTCTAGCAAACAACCTCTCTCTAAATCTCTCGATCCCTTTCTCGGTCTTAAGACGGTTCCCACAAACCGAGTACTTAATATCCAGAGGATAGCAAGGAAGACTTTGTGGTAGCGTTGGTGTCTACATTGAAGAAGTGTCTTCAAAGGTATGTATCGCTAACTTCCCTTTATTCATGCTTATATGTCTTTTCTTTGTTGTAATTCTAAGACAAGATCGAAGCACACGCGCTCGCGTGCTTTCGCTGCAGGATCCGATCCCTTCATAAATAAGAGTAGAGACTCGTATAAGCGCACACGGTCGCAAGTAATACTCGAAAGTAATCCAAGGCCGAATCCTCAGGGACTTGTTGTTTTTCAAAATCAAGTAATGTCGTAAAATGGTTCAAATATGCATTTTAATAAAACCCAACCTCTTTGTTTCCTACCTTAGTTTTGATGCAAAACATGGAAAACACACTTTGTTGGGAAAATGCACCAGGCACATTCCTAGAATTTATTGGGAAACTAAGTTCTACTCTTTCACTACCGCTTTTGATTGCTGTAGAGGCTAGGGTAACCTACAATCATATGTTTATGTGTGATTACAATCCTAGAGAATAATTATCAACTCACATGCATTATGGATCAGAGGGCTTATGTCTAGGACTATATTTTATGCGTTTATGTCTAAGTCACATCCCATATTGGTTTCCTAATATTTTACCTAACTCACCCTTCTCAGGGTTAGGCTTTAGTGTATAAATCAAGTCCCACTGGTCAAATGGAAAAAAAAGACGTAAAGAGAAGTATTTAGAAACCAATCGAAAAAAGTGTCAGGCGCAATTCTAGGCAAATCTTGAGCGTGTTGAAAATCAAATCATTTTGACTAAGGCATTCCACAAAGAGGTTGATAACTAATTTACAACATTTTTAAAGGAAAGAAAATGCTCGAAAACATAAAGGAATTATTTTTCATTGAATTAAAACGAATAAACGAGCCATACAATGAGTTCTAGTTTGACCCTCTTTTCTCTCGAGTGTGAGAGGAGGGTAAACTCACTAAAGAACTTAAGAATAATAGAATAAACGAAGAACAAATGATAGAACTTTAATTAAAAGCAATAAAGTAAGAAAATACAAGGAAATAATAACTAAAACTTGAATCTAAGACTAAGAACGAGTTCTACAACGAAGAGAGAATGTAAATGAAGCTGGAAATGAGCTTGAAAGGAATGATTTGCAAGTGGAGGGATGACTTCCTTATATAGCACCTTGGGTTGGTTGAACTCCCCACCATTTTAGGTGGAAATGGGTTGGGTTTGTTACAAACCCTCTTGGACTTGGACTCATGGTTTTGAGTTGGTTTGAACATGTATGAAATATCCTCCTTGCCCTTCATTAATCAAAACGTGTGTTATACCAATTTGTTCTCCAAAAATTCGGCGGGTGCAATTCTGCAAAAACAGAAAACTGTTATTTTCTTCCAACTTTGACCGCATTTTTCCCATATTTTTCCTAAAGTAACATAGTTTGACTTTTATACAGAAATGTTCTATGAATGTTATACTTTAAGAATATGTGGCCCTTTTTGGCAAATAAGGATGGGGAACGAGTCAAAAACGTGGTCAAACAGGCCTACCGACACATGTTTCTGCAGTAAAAAGTCAACTCTCAGTACAAGAAGATTGAGTTGTTTCAACCACTTTTTATCAAAGGTTATTAAAAACCTCTGAAAAATAGTACATTTGTCAACAAATATTTAAAGCCCTCGAAAAATATATCAACATTTATCAAAGGTTTGTAGAAAAACTTCGAAAATTATGCACTATTTATCAACAAATTTCATAAACCTTTGCAAATTATGTTATCTTTCTTCGAAGGTATTTTGTAGAACTTTGAAAATTATTCACTTTTTTATCGAAGATTATTGAAAACCTTTGAAAAACAATATATTTATCAACAAATATTTAAAACTTTGGAAAAATACATGATATTTTATCGAAGGCTATGAAAACCTCTGAAAATTATGAATTTTTTTATCAAAGGTTAGTAAAAACCTTCTAAAACAATACACATTTATCAACAAATTTCATAAACCTTTGAAAATTGTGTGATCTTTTATCGAAGCTATATTGAAGACCATTGAAAATTATGCACTTTTTATCAAAGGTTATTAAAAACCTTCGAAAAAGATATACAATTACCAACAAATTTCATAAACCTTTGAAAAATGTAATATTTTTGTGAAGGTATTTTGAACACCTTTGAAAATATTCAAAATTATTAATACTTTTTATCTAAGGTTATAATTACCTTCGAAAAAGATATACAGTTATAAATTATAATTTTTTTTTTAATCGATGGTTGACAAAAACCTTCCGAACGATTAGAAGGTATTTAAAAAAAAGTTTTAAAAAAGTTATCAATGTTTTATGGAAGGTTACCAACAACAGTCGAAAAAGATTTATTCTATTTTAAAAATAATATAATTGTCTGAAATACTTTACTGATTCTTCGCCCTCAGGTTACGATAGTTTTTCCCCTCTTCACCAATATTTGCCCTAGTTTCTACATTTGTGACACTTCAACCCGTTGTCGTCGAGTCATCGCTGCCGCACGTTGTTGTGAGTTCCTGCTCCATTGATTGTGATCGTGGCGCCTCGAATCGATGTATGTTACTGAAATTTATGTTCACTTTCTTACTCACTCAAGTTCCATTGCTCTCTTTTATCCGTTTTTCAACCATTCTTCGTCAACGATTTACGATTCTCTGTCATTAAGTTTCGTCTTCAATTCATCAAGAGAGTTGATGACTAATTCTCTACATCTTGATATTGAGATATGAAATTCTCTTCATATCAACCATGATCGCATTTTATATTGAATCTACCTCTTCATATTGGCACTTTCTTCCAATTTAGATTCTTAAATCGGATATTGATTAACTTGTTTGGTTGTGCATTTTTTCCGTTAGGTATTGCGAGGCGTCGAATTCTCTAATTAGTGATAAAATTGGTGTTTCATTCCTTGTAAGTACATAAAGAGAATGTATCTGCTTGAATTATGCAAAAATTTGGATTCAAGTCTAATTCTTCATCTTGAACCGTTTTCTTATTTAATTTAGAATTTTCTTTTTCCATACTATTACTCTATTCTAATTTTTCGAACATCTATAGCGAAAGCTTGCATTAACTTGAGTCATGTTAAGGTCTACCTACTGATGGATCAAGACACTATTGGTTTGATTAATTTAATGAAATCTTTTTCAAATTTGACAGCATAGGTAGTAAGTGGTTGTAGGAACCGGAAAGTAGTGTTTAGTAATTTTTGGAAGCATGCAGAAGATAAACCCTTGGGTTTCATTCCCTCAATTGTGTGAGTTAGGCTAAAAGGCATATGCMTGTTTCTATTTTATATTGTAATTTTGAGTTAATTGTCTTAGAGTAATTTAAACATATGAGGATTTTTATGTGGGATTAAAAATTGAGAACTATATATATGTCACTCCGTAATGTATGTATATATGTATCTATGCCATGTATTTCTTATTTTGGTTAACACTTAGCATAAAAATATGACAACTGTATCCATACCCTCTCTTTGCATTTTGCTGTTTCACTCATTTGTGATATGTCACGGATCCCTCTGCCTTCTTTTTACTTTTTTTTTTCAACTCTACTTTCCCTTTTCTTTTTCCATAACATCGCCTTTTAATGAAACATTTCTTCTGGTTTAACAATTTTAGATGATGATGATTGTTTTTATATAATAATTGTTACTCTACTGTGATTTCAGCATCATATTTGAACTTAAAAATTCTTGCATGCCCTAACTTATCTTAAATTAATTGTTGTCATAAATATATAGCATAAAGTGATGTTTGCTATTTGCTAATGATCAGTGAGAATTGGAAAGTTTTATTTCTTGAAATTTGTGTTGGTTTTGTGTTTGTTGAACTAATAATAATGGTTGACTCTTACTTGTTCGGATTGATTTGCAATGCCTTAGACTTTTGAATTAAGAAAATGTAGACACCTTTGTATGAAGATTTCTACAATAGTTTGAATACATCCTGTCTTCTCGTTTTTATCAAGGGTAAACAAGATGAAGTCCAGGTAACCAATCGACAGTAATTTATGCTTTTGGTACTCGGAACCCAGGCAGAGGTAGCAGGAGTAACTAATGGAAATGATTAGATATCACAACTCTACGATTGGAAAGGACTTCTTGCTTATGGTCATTTAGAAGTTGGTAGCCCAAGGTTCCAATTTTGGCCGTTTTTTTTGTAAGTTTGGTATTATTATTGAATTAGAAAATCCTTTTGAGCATCAATTTCAAACCATTGATGGTTGAGATGATGCGTAAAAAATCCTAAAATAGGGGTTAGAAAATCTGATATAGTATATAAAGAAATTTGAATATCTTTTTTGTTTTAGGGCATGAAGTATTTGTATTATTTGAATTAGTTTTAGAAGGTTTAAAAATTGTTGAAAATAGGATTATGATCCTTAGAAAATAATAAAAACCTTCGAAAAAAGTAATTGGTACCAACTCATTATTGACAACTAATTTAGCAATCTTAGGAAGTTTATAACCTTTGAAAAATATGAATTTTTGAAGGTTAACAAAACCATTGAAAAAGCTTTTTCGACGGAATCTATTTTGACACTTTTTTAAGGTTGAGTAAACCTTTGAAAAAAGATTTATTGAAGGAAATTCAATTAATAAGAAAATAGCATAGCATAGAGTTCACAACAAATGTGAACAATTCATCCTCTAGCTAAATAAAATAGCACATTAGAAAGAAACTACAAAAATCACAAAGAAATTGTAGAATTTAGGGACGCTAAAGGCTGCCTTTTAGCGGACCCAATCTTCCTCTTCGCCCTAGCTTCTTGTGGAGATTCGCCCCTTCAATGGCTGCAACCTTCTCTGTAAATGGTGGCTTAACAATAGAGAAAATAATTATGTTGATATAATTTTTGGTGACTCGGGTTGGGTCAAAAGCCAAATAAAACGAACCAAATTATTCGTGGAATCGACCGCCGAATTATTGGAGCTAGGATCTACAATAAGAAAAAATATGAGAGAATAAACACCGATGTGGTATCGGCCGACCACACTCTGATGCTTATGTCAGTTAATGAGCTTAAGAGAATAAGAGAGGAAATTGGCAAGTCTTGAGTGCATTGCTTGAGAGAGAATGACATACCTCCCTTCTATTTATAGCTTTTGGTGGTAGTATGAATAGTCTTCGAAAAGTCAAGGGAGTTCGTCAAATTCAACTTCGCTTTATACTTGGCTCTATAATGGGACCAATAGATGCACAAAAGGGTAGGCGGGTCCCCTGCGTCCTATATCTAAACTATGAAAGCAATGGTATAGTTGGGATTCTTTGGCTGATTTGGCAGCATGTCCTTATCTTGACCGAGCGGAGCAAGTGTTGGGATATCGGAGGGTTTTCTTACCTTTTCAGTATCAATGCTTGATTCCAGTGGTTTGAAATTTGACATGATGGGTTCAGGGCGTAGAGTCACATAGTAAAATTCACGAGCAATGCGTTGCTCTACTCGTACACTCCCTACCCCCATTGGGTTGAAACTTCATAGCTTGATGTAAAATGGACGGTACAGCTCCCAAACTATGTATAGTGGGTAGGATTATATACCGAATCTAAATTGACAACTAAAAAGCATACTAACCTGTTGAGGATGCACGAGTTTTCTCCAAATGAGACATGTAATTAAATGCTTCCCAATGGGTAGACTCATTCTCCACCAAATCCCACTAGGTGAGTGGTGCATATTTTCAATCTTTCTCAATCGATCCTCATAGCATCAAATGTTCGCAATGCTAGGACATCAGCTGAGCTTCCTCCATCGACCAGTATGCGATGTACTGGTATATTGGCAATGGGAAGTGCGATTACTAGTGCATCTCGTTGTGTTGTTGATGTAGACTTTGCTCATCGAAACGGTTGAAGTATATGATGAATTCAGGAGGCCTCGATGTGGTTGTGCAGATGATGTGGTCATAAGACTCATGTCGCGCTTGTCTAGCCTGAGTCTTTCTCTTTCTACTAGATTCTCCTCCAGCTGTGTCCAGCTTCTTTATGAAATAAGTAGTAGCGGCTTTTGTCTTGGGGTAAATTTCCTTGTTGTTTTTTAGCGGGCCACCTGAGGAGGTTCTTATCCTTAATTTTCATCAAGATATGCTCTACTGGTACGGTGGTTGTGGTAAATCTTCAAATGTGTTTCGAGAACTGCCGGTCTTTAGGCTGGTAGTCAGCTTTGGTTCTTTTTTGAGGATTTTGCATAAATGTCTATCGTTCTCTTTTTGTCTCAAAGCTTCAAGCAGCATTTCCGAATTCTCTCAGGCATTAAGCAAATTTTCTAGCATGCAGATGTTTTTAGCTCGAGCAATGAACTCATCAAAGGTAGTTGGAGTTTTCTTACCTAAGGACCAAAGAAACTTTTCATCTCGTAGTCTAGCCATGATGGCAGTCAGGGCAGTTCCATCAGTGTCTCCTTCAACTTTGAGGTCTTCGTTATTAAAGCGGACGATATATTCGTGTAGGATTTCGTTTGCTTTTTGTCGGAGTATCAGTAAGTAGGTAGTCAACCTCTTCTTCTCACATCCCCCTACAAACTGCGTCAGAAAAGCAAGAGTTAACTCTTGAAAGGAGGTTATCGACTGCCTTTTAAGTTTTCGATACCAAGTACTGGCTGGACTAGTAAGAGTTAACGAAAATGCCCTATATTTTATCTCGTCGCGAGCCCCCTGAAGATCCATTCATGCGCTAAAGGTGTTCATATGGTCCAGTGGATCTTTAGTACCATCATATTGCTTCATGGTTGGCCATTTGAACTTTGGCGGTATCGCCACTGTCATGACATTGTCCGCGAACGAGGTACTTGACCCATCGCGTGGTTTTTCTTCATTTGGCACCTTACTGGGGTGATCTGTAACGCCCCGAGTCCCTCAGGTTAGTTAGTCTCGAATCAGGAGATTTTTATTTTTTTAAATTAAAACTCTAATTAAATTTATATTTATCGGGCTCTAAACTCTAATTAAATTTATATTTATCGGGCTCCGTGTGGTTGGTTTTGTCTTAAGTTGGGATGGATTTCTTTTCTTTTGGGCTTGGTTATGTTGGGCCTTTATTGGGTTGGTTTGGTTTTAAAACAAAGGAAAAGAGGAAAAAGAAAACAAAAATCAAGAGGGACTTTATCTTCTTCTTCTCCTTCTCCCTTGTTGCCCTAGCCGCCACCCCCTTTCCCCTTCAATTTCCGG